GCAATAAAAAAAGAAATCACAGCTTCCTATCAGCAAGCAGATGTCTAGCTACTCCTTGGAAAGCCAGGCTTCAGTGGATGTAACGTTTGCTTGGGAAGGCATGCTTCGGCAGGATGAATGCTCCCCTATCCTCCTTTCCCTGAGCTTTTATTGCTGAGCATGATATCATATGGTATGGAATATCCCTTTACTGAGTTTGGGTCAACTGTCCTGGCTGTGTTGCTTCCCAACCTCTTGCCTATTCCCAGCCTACCCACCGGTGGGGGAGGCAGAGTGGGAAAGAGAAATCCTTGACGCTGTGCAAGTGCTGTTCAGCAACTGGCGTAACACTGGTGTGTCATCAACACTGTTTCAGCACAAATCCAAAACACAGCACTGTATGGGCTACTATGAAGAAAATGAACTCCATCCCAGCCAGAGCTAGCAGACCGTACCAGGTGGGGGGTGTTGCAGTGAGCTCTGTGAGCTGAGGTGGCATCAGGGCCTGTGTAGCAGTGCAGAGTGTAGTGACAGATAAGGAGAAAAATCCCTTTGAGAATAGTGGAAGGATACTGAGCTGTCTGCATGAGGATCCAAGAAGAGTGGTGAAACAGAAGTAGCTGAAAGCTCGAAGGAGATGCTTTGTTCTTGACTGATGCTTGTACCTATTAAAGGATCTAGTCCTGACTAGGACTTGACCGGGTAAATTGTGCTGCCTCTCTAAGACTCCTCTTCCATTTGCTGTAGACTAGCACAGATGCTTCTCGAGTGCTGCAGCGTTTTGTCTAAAGAAACTGGTAGGTGACCTCTGGCAGGTTCTGTAAGCTTACTTTCATGTAGTTTTTCATGAGCCGTATGCGAAATTGGTCGTGAGAAGACACTGACTTTCAGAAGCTGCAGCACAGACTAATGTGGTCTTTCATGCTACTTGGTGCTACATGAAGCTCGTGGGGCATAGTGAGACCCTAGGCTTGTTTGAGGTAGTCCAGCTGTGTACAGGGCATGTGTAGATGCCACAGTAGCTGCTAAAATCTCACGTAGTCTTACGTCAGCACAAGGGGTCAGCACAATGACTAAATTGATTTTTGCGTATCTGCCATATCTGCTCGTGATAACTCTTGCTGACATGATTTGCAGAAGATTTGGAAGAGGACTTGTGTTTCCCTCTGCTAACAGGTTGCATCTATTCTAGGCTGTGGAGGGCTTACTGGATGCCACCAGTGGGGCAGATGCTGACCTCCTGCTTCGCTATCGCGAGTGTCATCTGCTGGTGCTGAAGGCTCTGCAGGATGGCCGTGCATATGGATCTCCGTGGTGTAATAAACAAATTACTAGGTCAGTTATGAGACAAGAGGAACATTGATGTAGCTTTCATCATTTTTAGGGAGTTACTGTGCTATTCTGAATGTCTTGCCTGTTAATATTTTGCATTGCTGCAATTTGGACAGACAAAAAATAACCAGTTTATTAATCAAATTAACTAGATCTTCTGATAATGCTGCTTCATCCTAGAACATGATATGAATCTTTAATAGAATTAAGCATTAGAGATGCTCTAGGGGTGTTTTTTCCTTATTTTATAGAGAATGTCTCTGCATGCTGTCACAAACTAGGTGACACGGCATATGCCTGTAGCAGAAGCACTAGAGCTTCAGCTAGACAGATATGCTACTCTGTCCTCGTAAGAGAGGCTGCTTATGCTGAGTAAACTGAAGCTCGTGAAGGACTGTTGTGACCAGTGGTGCAGGGCAACAAATGCTTGAGGCTGATGACTGTTCTTGAACTCAAATATTAGCTTAGAGAAGGCTCTAGAAGGGGCTTCTTTTGGAGCCAAGTCACGAGTCACAGTGAATGGCACAGTTTTTACAGTGTTAGATTTAAGTTACTTCGCTCAAACTGTGGTGTTGCAGTACACTTGTGAAAAGAAGTCCAATTCCTCAGGTGCCTGATCGAAT